CCGCGCGTTATCGCCACCCTCCTGCCATCCTAATTTCTTTCTTATGACCCGTTTCACTGTGAAATTCACGGTGAATAAAAGCGTTTTACGCGCATCGATCGACAATCTTTTATGTACCTCGATTCAGTCGCGAGGGTAATTTCTTTATTCGTATTCGAATTTTAGATTAATCTTGAATTATACGAATCGGCCGGGAAGCCATTCAGTTTTTTTTTCTAAAAATCATAAAAGTTTCCAAAGACCCTCTGCAATGGACAGTGTTCTAGTATTTGAAACTCTATAATTGTATGGAAGTCTAGCTTGCGAGCGTGGGTCATCAGCGACCCGATTCCGCCATTCGACTGTTAAGCGACCCTTGAATTCTTTTCTCCGTCTTCAGCGGAGCACCTTCTCACGATTCGCTGCGTTCCTTTCATGCGAATCCGGGAGTTCTTCGCAGACATCGATCCAGGATGCAGGCGTCGATAGTTTCTTCCCGCGGAAGCTAACCCTAATATATTGGATCGAGTTTAGAGGGGGGATGGAGTCGCGTTACTCCGTACAGGGGTGGTTCTTCAGGTTGGGTGGGGATCGGTAGGAAGGTTACGGGTCATAAACCGTCGTCCGGTCACCGAAATCGTCTCGAACGTGCGTCCATTTCCACGTGTGTGGGTGTGCTGTGTCCATGCGCGCGCGTACCACGTGTGATCCACGCGTTTCACGACGCGGATCCCTCCCTTTCAACGGGCTTGTTTACCGGTGCCCGTGCACTTTTAGAGTAATAGAATCCCGATTTTCTGATCGACGGGAGCACAACGGCATATCGCGAACACTTTCGTTTCGAGATTAAAGTGATCCCGTTCCGCAACTTTGCTTCCTTCGCGATCAACGCCCGATAAGTGAATCGCACCAATTTAAGCGACACTCTCGCACAACTTCCACGAAAGATATCGGAGGGATATTTCAATTGAAAAATATTCCAACGATAGAAATAGAATTTTTTCTTTTAATAATCGCTTTAATATAACTCTAAATTGTTTTGTCCGTTTCCACAATGTCGTGTTCGTACGCAAACTTTTAAGTTCGTTCGTACTTAGTACGCGATGAATCATTTGAAAAATACATCGCAAGTACTCCAAGTTAAGAACTATCAGTGTGTATGTAATGCGAAGATAAGATGTCCCCCATGTTCCCATGTGTCACAGCCCTCCATCGAGGATTATGTTGCCATCTACGATGGCGTACCCTCCCCGAACGAAAACATCGCGACGAATCACCCCAACCAGTCGGAATCCCTTAACCTTTTGCACTCTCGTGCTCGTTGCTGGTGAATCGTCATTTTTTTCAAGTTCGAGAATCCTTTCGCCCTTAAAACTTGCCGTCAACGGCGATTATTTACCGTCGTCCCTGTCCTGGATACTTTAGATTACATTTTCGGGAAGTACATCGAAGCGACTCGAGGAGATCGAAGGGAAGGGAACGGCGAGAAAAACGCCACCCTTATGATTTTTTAACACCGGACGCTTTCATGGCCGTATGGCGCGCGGTTGTGCCCCAGTTACGTGTTATTTTTCAGGGGGTGACTCGAGCACTTTTTTTATGAATCCACCAGGAATATTCCGCATCTCCCTCCGCGCTAACATAAAAACAGACATTAGGTTTTACTCCGCCTCGACAGTGGTTATTCCCTGTCAAACCTTTAAGTAAAACTTACAAGATTATTTTTAGATTATCAGATTATACGTGATACACGTAGTCCCTATCATTCTTTTTGTTTATAGTCACCTCGAGGAATTGGCGTTTCCTATGTTTAAAATTCAAATTTTAAGATTTGATTAAAATTGTTAATGGAATTTAAAGGAAATGTGAAGGGAGAAAACTAAAGAATACTTACCTCGAATAATATAATCCATCGAAAATAATATTCTCTTTACGATACAGAATTTTTACCTTATTTATACGATATACAACCAAAATTTCTGTCAGTTAAGATATTTCCTATTCCAAAACAATCAATATGATACTATCTAACATGTTTATGAGTCGCATTATTGCCGATAAGCAAGTTGATATTTTTACTTTTCTCCCTCCTCGAGGCATTCTTTTTGGCCCCCCTGTCATCTTTCCCAAGAAACGTTCCTATTTTTCCCTTTCTACAGTCAGCATTCCGAACGGCCGGGCCAGCACGTCAGCCTAATGTATGTCCTGCATCGCGAGGGTGCGTTTGATTCATTTCGCCGGGGTGGGTTCGCTCGTGCCTTATTCGCCACGCGTTTCGAGAGCCCTTTTTCCTCCCGGTGGTCGCGAGTGAAAATCCACCCCCGAAAGACTTTACACGGGCGTCATAAGCCGGTGCACTTAATTTAAAGATCATCGACCGGCGAAAAGTCGTCGGTACCCCGAGGTCGGGTCGCACCCCACCCCGCGTTCCTCGTTTATTTTTCCCTCCTCGTCCTCGCTAGTTCACGGATTTCTGCGGGGACGAGCTTCACAGTCTGTGCATTCCGCTTTACAGTTCATTTCACTTTTCCCGCCGACCGTTCTCCGCCCCCTCCCCGGGTTTCCTGGCGACGGGGAAAACTCTTTTAATTTTTATCCTTCGCCGAGCTCCGTTCCTTCGATTCGTACGTATCAGTTAGCGCTTTCCACTTAATTGCTTATTTATCGATCGAGTTGATTCGAACAGTTTGTGTCCCGAGCAAAGAGACTCCATGATTAAAGGGATTGTAAATAACGATGGTCAGGCAGGCTAAGGACGAAGACGTAAATCCCCAAAATTTGTCAGAAGTCTCAGGAATAATGACTGTTAGCAAATAACACTTTATTCAAGAATATACATTTTAATAATACAAGTGTGTGCATACTTATGGATTCCATAGCTAAAATTGTGACTGTTTTAAATCCAGTCTCTGTGCTCTGGTCCTGCAGACCGAAACGACCCCCGAAAGGGGGAAAAAGCCCACCAAAGTGTTCCCAGATGTCGAGAGGCTCGTAGAAAGCAGGCCTGTATCGTATCGTAGGGGTTTCCCAAGGACCAACGACGAATTTTCCATTTCCATCTCGATCCTCGCGGATGGAACGTAACGCGGGGATGGAGATTGTTGATTAATGCTCGAACGTCACCGGTGCCCGAGATCGCGTCCGATCGCCGATAGATCGGTCTCGAGGAGTTTCAGCAATTGCGGCCGATTCGGCTGTCGTTGACGCAGAGTCCTTTCAGAGGAGAAAGGAGGCAGCTACGTAGGCATGTGGCAAATTGCCGGTGCTGCCAGTTCGAAGGGAGCTCTTCTCCTCTCCCGTTTCTGTTCGCGGAGGTGGAGGCGCCTCCGCGAGGAGAAGGTGGAGCAAGAGAAGGAAGGACGAGCTGGAGTGAACAGAGGAAGAGGAGCAGTTGGAAGAACCGACGCGTAGGAAGGAGCCACGCAGGACGAGGTGGAAGGAAGGCGGCGGGTAATCTGTGATTCAAAGAGAGCGATCCATCTTGCGACATGCCAAGATTCAATCGTCGGCATTTGTTTGTGAAATCAGTCCCGGAGGACTCATCCCTCGACCTCGTCCCGCCACCGTGCCTCTTTCTACGTTTTGTCGGCGCGTATGTCCGAACGTACGCGAAAATTTCCGAATTCCGGATAATAAACACCAGAGAATTTCGAAAAAGTTCGAAAAGGATCAAAGAGGCCTGTAGAACATTAGCAGCATAAGCGATGTTAAGGCTAGAACTACCAAAGCAGTCAAAATGAATTTCTGAAAATTTATCGTAATTTTCTATGAGAGAATGAGTAAACGCTTATTTCTATTGCATTATACGTTTCTTCGGTAGAAATAAATACACTGTAATTGTCGGTAGTTCTAGCATCTGTTGTTGAGGAAGCTGATTTTTCGGCAAAATGTCGCTTTGGGTGACGTCACCGTGTACTCCCGGATGCAAAAGAAGCCGATAAAGGGAAGGAACGCATGATCGAAGCCGGGAAGGGCTAATCAGACCATATATATTTATTCAGCTAGGCGAGGGCGGACGTCTCGTCCCCTGGACGATGGTCCTTCTCGAGAGGACGAATGCAAAGAGCAGAACGGGACGGAGACACACACGCCGTGGCTTAGCGTCGAGGAAAAACCGGAATACGGGGATGGATTTGTGCCTGTGATCCGTGCCAGATCCCATAAAATGACCCCAGTGCGATCGAGTGCCCCTCCTCGAGGTGGTGGTATCGCGCGGGATACGGTAAGAGAGAAAGAGGATACGACCCCAGAAAATTATTGCTCTCCTTATACAATCGTCCATCGAATTGGGGCCACGACGAATAAACCAGTGCCCTTTCTGCTCTCCGGGGGGGCAGGGGGGGCGAACAGAAAAAAAAGAATATACAAAGAAGAGCATCGTCTGATCTGACGCGGAATTGCTTTACATTTTCGCGAAAGCCCGGGAAAACATCTCGCGTAAGGTAACGACAAAATAAATGCGCGCGGTGATCGAGACCGCGTGGGTGGGTTCGTTCGATTCAGCGATTTCTTTTGGACTCGCTGTTAATTTAAATTCAACGGCACGGTGGTTAAGAATTACAGCGTTAGACGATGAATCGAGTGCATACGTAACAATAATTGTCGAACCGTTAGTTCATGAATGTAAAACGATCTTAAATTCACCGTTAGCGGGATAATTAGAAGGAAAAATCTATAGAACAGCAATTAACAGCAACTTTTCAATGCAATTAGGAGGGATGAAAATTATGCAACTGATTGCAGGCATGCTTGATAATGCTAATTAACAATGATTCAGCGAGTGCCTCTATAGGGGCCTCTATTTATCAACGTTTCGACTCGTATACACTCGAGTCATTCCATAAGACTGCTCGATGAGTCATTGAAAATTAGTTGGTCATATAAAATGCATTCGTTCGTAGAATTAAGTTTCGCTTGCGTTTAAATCTATCGCGTATATTTTATATTCAAAAAGTAAAAATTGTCGATTATAAAATGTTAAAACGTTAAAAACACGGATCTTCTCGGGTCTTCTCGTTCTGTTATTCTTTCACGGACCCCTCTTGCGAGTAGTAGTGGTAGTCGATAAACCTGTAACCCTGTACGAGCTGTGCAGAAGTGTTGACCAAGTGGCACGCCAACAGCAACAAATTCCGTGGCTGCACTTTCCACGCGAACCTCATGAATATGGCAGAGGACAGGGCCAGGGCTGAAAATCATTTGTTATCTGTCGAAGTCACACGATATTCAAATAAATTTGAAAATTCATTATTTAAATTACAGAGACATTTGAATGTGCTTTTATCGCGACATTTCGTTCCGTGGAGGGGATGGGAGGCTCGAGAGGGCCAGTTTTCATCGAATGGCGTATCCAAGGAGTAAGAACAGCGGCGTGCCGCTCATTAAGAAATAAACGGTTATTCGCCGCGCTCGAACGGCAATTATTTTACGGGCCCTTTCTGCCTTGAAATCCTCCCCCTGGACGTCAGCGTTCCCCCGTTCGTCGTCGTGTCTCTTTCCCCGTCGCTAAGCGTGATTATTATATGAGCGGCGAAATGAATTCTCCGAAAGGTCCGCGCATCGAGTCTCGAGAACTCACCCAAAGTCATTTTGCCGCTAATGATTCTCGGATGCTTTTGCGTGTCGGATATGGCCGCTATGGGTATCATCCAGTTGAACACCGGTCCCCAGAAGTGCGTGCTTAAAAAGTAGTTCGTTTTCCATAAATTATTCTCATCTGGGTGGTGAACGGGGGTCTAGGTGGCGTGCATAGAATCAGGGTGGTGGGGGACGATGTACAATGCGAGACAAAATGATGCTCGAAACTTGTATTTCGAAATCATATCGACAAAACAAATTTCATTTGCTCGTAACTTTGCCATTTCGTATGTGCAGAGTTTTATCAGTCGTCATCGACCATCAACGACGCTGTAAACGATTTTTAAAAGATGTTGTTTCGGACGAGTAGTCATTTTGTTCCACACTGTAGCTTTTCTCGTCGATCGTAAAAAATGGGGGGAGGAAGGGATACGTAGGAGGAAATTCGTGGACCCGAGATTACAGGCGCGAGACAGAATCGTTTTCGGGGATGCCTGACGGTAATAAAGATTTTATGACGTAACTAGTCCCCCACTCCCATTCCTCGTGTCTTTCCACTGTAATGCAAACATCGTATTTGGAGAACGGCACCGAACTATCAACACTCGTATTTCTCGAACGACGTCGACCCGGTCGAAGCAGCTCGATCGCGACGATTACCTCATCAAATAGTTCCTCGTTTCTTTGTTAAACAGGCCCTTCGACGATCGTTTCACCATCGTGGACGATAATAGCCAGGGCTCCTTCTTAAAAAGACCTCAGAAGAAGGTGAACGCTATAACCTCGCGTCTCGATCTTGACATCTTGCGTTTAGAGTACGATAACGCGTACTTCACGTCGAAGATCGTGCAACGAAACGGAATATAACGAAGGTTCGACCGGTCTTTTGTTAAAAATTGCGTCCACGAGGATGAAACGAGAGAGTTCGGACGTGTTGGCCTGAAAGCAATCGTGAACGATTAATTCCAGGTCAACGCGTACTTCCGTATCCACGAAAATCTCCATCGGTGATCCATCACTTCCCAGCGATTTCTCGCCCTCGACCGATCGATTTGCATAACAGTTTACACGCATAATTTATCACCGCCGCGTCGGTCGTTCCTTTCTATTTTTTGTATAATTTTTTCTCCACAAACCTCTTGCACGACGGCGGAACCGTTGCCCCGCCATCCTCCTCATAATAAATGCACAGGTTATTATTTCGCGCGTATAATATTGATGGCGCTATGAATGTTGCATGGAGGGGTGCAAGGCGTTCGCGTAGCGTAGTTCATCGGGGGTGGAAACCAGCTAGTTCACGGGGGATGTTCCGTCGCACATGCGCCGAAAACGGGAATGGTATTATTGATCTGAAAAGGGGGCGGACTATGGAGCCCTCGAGTATCAGCAGCGTGTCGCGACGATCCCGGCACCCTCGTCCACGGGAATATCGAAAGAATTTCCATCATGGAGATCGCGGTAGTAAATTTCGAGAGAGAACCGACGATGTCCAGGCTCGCGTGATAAATCGTCGTTTCGTCGTTTCGTCGTCGTGAAATTTTGCATCGTTACAACGCTATTATTCGCTCTTTTTTTCTTGCACATACTCGTATATATTTAGCGTCGCATCAACTGCACCTAGTCGATCGTTATCGACGATGCCCAACGCGAATCGAATTTTATCGTACAGGGTTTGCGATTTAAATAAAATAACTGCAAAAAATAATCTGGCACGCAATATTTTATTTTGACATTAAATATAATTTAAATAACCACAAGAGAAACTCTATATTTGCGACTGCAATCATATTCCAATGATACAGATGTCGGAATGGTGGTTTCTAAAGAACGTATAGCGTATAGATAGCATAGAGATCGTAAATAATTGCAAGAAAGTACGGAGTTAAGATTCATTGGCTTCGTGCTTCCGTGTGAAAGAAGGATCAGGTGAGAAAGTAGAGAAAGGGGCCCCGCGAGGCGCCAGAAATCGACGCACCTGCGATCGCTGTGTTCCCTGCATATGCATTCCCGCATGTGCCACTCGCACGGACATTTCCCCTACGAGGAAATCCTTATCCCCGGGTCCGTAGGTCCCCCAGACCACCATTCCAGCCACTCAACGGTATTGCCGCTATTTTCCGTCTCGCGTATTATGGCCGGTGTGTCTCGTGATTCTACGGGAACGTCGTTTACATGCACCACTCCCTACGCGACTCGTCCGTATTTATTTTATCGCGCCCGGGACGCGAGCATCGAACGTGAAATTTCTGATCGAGACGAATCGTAAAACACGTGAAGCTTCTCGATTCACTTTCTCCCCGTTGCACTGCGCGCGGTTTATTTCAAAACCCCAAGAACATTACAAGATCATTCATTTTATTATCTCAGAATCGTTGTCATTTTTTTTTGTTGCGTCGTTTCGTGAGTTTGTGATTTTTTTTTAAACGTGCACACGGTCGTAGAAAATTCTAATCTCTCAAGGTTTCTTTCAAGGTTTTTTTCGAGTCCAAACGATGGCGTCTCTTACGATTTTGAATCGTATCGTTCGAGACAGTCCAGGAAGCGAGTCAATTTCCTTTGTTTGCCAATCGTGACTCGCGCAGGCTGCGGGGTATCGACGCGCGAACGATACAATCGCTCGTACGTACGTGTTTCATTTGTATTCGGCCGGAGGAAAGGCACGGACTTTGATGTTTCTTGCTGACGCGTCTCGGAACCTTTTCCAGATCTCCCTTCGTTCGTCTTGCGAGACTGATCTGAATGCGTCCTTCGTATTTGCCATCCCCCGGCTCTCTACTTTTCCAGAATAGCCGTTGACAGCCACAGTCACCCCTTGACGCGTGTTTCCTCCCTTCGCGGGTGAAAAGCCGCGCTCTGTGAACTCCGTATAGACTTCGACCCCCGACGATACCTTCTCTCGACTGTAAAGTGCAAAAATGTACCAGAATTATAAATCGAATTAAATGATAAATTGCAAGAGTCCAGAAGTGGCGCAAACTTGTGAGTCAGTTTTTTAACCCAATGAATAATAATAATTAACTGCACTTATTCTACTTATCATCTGGCAAAATTTAAGAATGCCTCGAGGTAATAGAAATCACTTTACCGCTGTTAACATCGTAATCTGTTTAGACGTTCGTACGTACAATGTGTTGACTTCATCAAGGGTCCCTGTAACTTGGTCCGGGTTAGGCCGATTTCCACGAATCCCAAGACAATATTTGCAAAGGAAAATCAGAATCTTTCCCTCCTCCACGAACACGCCACTCAGCTTGTTGTCGTTGTACAACTTGCTCGCGAGAAAGTCGAGATCCCTAATAGGTTGTCACCGGAACCATGGACAAGAAATTTACTTTTCGAGGTTGTACGAGAATCCCTCCTCAACGCGTTGACGAAATACTAATAGGTGAAATTAGAGAATAAAGTCAAAATAATTATTCTTTCTACATCTTTTTTATCCTGCTAAAGGTAAAAACAAGAAAAAATCGATATTTCAACTTTAAAATGGTGTTATTTTTTTAGCTATCAAGTTTATTCTGTCCTTTCAGTACTGGTTATAGAAAAATGTATCTTAAGTAAGAATCTTTTTCATTTCTTTGACTTACATGGGGAGGTAATGACCTGTCAACCTGGAATTTGAACCAAATTTGGTTGTAAAATACTAGACGTTTATGGCCAAGCATTTTTGAGAAAAATGACTTTAAAGTTTAAAATTTCGAAGTTGTCGGATCGAATTTGTTTTTTTTCACAAAAATACATTTTTGCAATACCATCAATAGTTTAGCCAAAGGTTTGAGTTTTTTGTAACAGAGAAACAGAATGGCTGAAATCATGGAAGCCAATAGAACACTTTCTCGTAGGAGGCTCTGTACTGCCACTAATTTTGACTATTTCTCGTCGTAAAAGTTTGTGAATATTACTGAAAGAGTAATAAATATACGAAACGTTGAGTCAAGAACTTGCGTAGTTTCTTTACAAAAGAAATATAAAAGAGAACAAAAAACGCGTTTTAAGGTAGAAGATCCCCATCAGGTAATGATATAGGAATCCATGTAAATAGTATTCGTTACTTTAAAAAATGTCATTTTGCTCAATTTTGTCCGCGTTTTTGCGCAGTGTGCGTTGCAAGGTTTGCCCGCGAAAGATGGTCGGGTTCCAGCTTTTGTCTCGATCGGGGGAGCCGATGCAAATCAGTCAGCACTCAGGATCGACGGGGCATTGTGGGTGCATCGTCCGACCGTTTCTCTTTCACCTTATTTATGCACTCGCTTTGGGAGTAATTGTTTCCTTCAGACGCGAGGCCCCGGGGACGATAGTCTCGCCTTGATGCGCCGCCGGACGGGGAACAGGCTTCCACGGCGAAGTCACGGATCCGCGCGTGTCACCGCGGAAGCTGTCTGTCCTTCTCGGTGCCGTCAACTTCTTTTGGTCCCTTCTATCTTTCCTGCGCGGAATCCACTCTGGATTCCGCCGGCGCGGTTTTAATTGCCCGTTTCGGTTGAATTCAATCGACGCTCGGTCTTACGGGAATCAATCGGCTCCCAGGAATTCGAGGGGAATACTTGTATAATTGCTGCAATATGACGACCACGGACACGGTTAATAACTCCCGGGCGCTTTGATAATCCCGTTTACCCGCGCTTAATTAAAATTACGCGGACGGTGTCGAACGATCACCACCTCCACATTACACGATCCAAATTTTCTGGACGAAAGAAAACATTCTTAGTAGGGATTCCTCCAAGAAAAGCTCAAAGCTCCAGCTTAAAAGTCTTACCCCTTAACCTGACCATTCGATAAATCATCGTATGGTAATTTTGTTTACAATCGATAAACGATCAGATTCGATAGTCCAGCGATAACGCGCAATTTTCTGTGATTTTTTTATTGTTGCATTACGTAAATTGCAAACGCAGCATCTGGCGTGTAATCACGATTGATTTAGATCGCACTTTGTCATTAGGAATCGGTCCTCAGGATGAAAGCATAGTATCGTGTCTCCTCCCGCGGCCTCCTCTTTTTCGTCTCTTCTTTGCGGCTTGTACCCAGGCTTTTATACTCCGACAATGCTTTTAATTACCCGTTCCGCGGCAGGACGGACGATCCAGTCGTAGACCACCGATCGTTTCGCTGATTGGTGGTCCTGGCCGATGAGACTTTATTACGAGACGTAATTGCCCTGATAAAATATTCCACATCGCGCGGCGCGTAATCGATCCTAATTGGTTCCACCGTACGTGGTATGTTAATTAGTTAACCGTCAATAACCCCCCGCGTGTCTCTGAAATCGCACACCCAGCATTTACATTTCTCGAGCCTGATTTATTACCGATGTCGATCTTTCTACAAATTACGCGTTTCGTTCTACGGAGACTGTACGATATTATTATTTTATCGCGTGGCTTTAATTTTCGTTTTAATTGCTAAACAATACCTGTTTTCTTTAAATTATACAGTCCGCGTACACGTTGTTCCAATGTATAAGACAGCTTTAAATTGTTCTGAATGTACTTCTAGCGCGTGTACCTAATAATTTGGCCGCTTACTGTAACTAGCGAGTTTTGCGAACGTGGGCGGTGCTCGTTTCTGTATTTCTCGCGAGGAGTAAAGAAAGGTATTATTACAAGCTGTTCCCTGGCACTCGCGCTCGTACATCAACGTCACTTAAAGTCAAGAAAATTTCGCTTCGCAATTTTTCTCACGTTTCTCGGTCTTCTATCTCTACGGTAGATCCTGGATAGCGGACGCGACGCAACGATGAGATTCGATTACGTATAATTTATGCGACGTTCCGAAATTCTGCCCATGCAATATTTCCGTGATCGATTGCCTTTGCAATGACAAAAATAATTGGAACTTTCTGCGGTAAATTCGCACTTCAAAATCTTCCAACATCGACTCGAAGCTTGGAAAAAGAATTCAATAATAGTGGCTTTCGGAATTTTTTATTTCGAAACGTCAGACTCCGTTCGAAGAATTCCTGAGCGAGTATTTCAATAATCAGAGACGATTTTGTTGCGCGTGGGGGATGATCGATGCAAGGCGCGATCGAGGAGCGATCCGAGCGAAGCCACGCGTAATCTCCGAAAAGCGCAATATAAGGAAGAGAGTTATGAGGGCAGATCGTGAATGCGGGCCATTATTCCGCACGATAAAGCGATTCCCCTGCACTTACGAAATTATGTTTCTACTATTTAGCATCGGGCCAGACGTCGCCGTGACCGGGGGTGGTCGAGGAATTCACGCGGCGGAAATCGCGCGGAGAAACGAGAATCCACGACGGGGGGGTTCCGTGGAAAGGCACGCGGATCGGCATTAGGAAAACGATAGAGCGTACCGGAAATGGAAACTTCGCCGATAAGATCGTTCCTCCCGCGCCACGGAACGATTCGTTACCGTCACCGATCGATCACCACTTCCGCGGCTTTTCGGAATCGACTTTAATCTCGCCCCGCGGGTCGGCTTCTATTCATTCCCGGCGACCTATCGATCGCTCGAATCGAAATTTTTCTAATTAACGGGGACTCCGTCGCGCGGAGTCCTCCGAGGCGAGCTGAAAGTTTTCCTGTTAAAACAGTGATTTCCAAAGTAAAACGGGGATTAACCGCTTCTCTTATCGATTGAAACGTTTATTAGTTTCCAGGATTTTTGTTACTCGTTGGCAAATATTAGTCGATTAGTAATCTCGTTCTTCATAATATTTTGTTGGCTCCATCTGCAGGGGAGAGTTTTACAATTCAAGGGATGGACAAAAAAATGTATCAGATTTGACTAGAAGTTCCTGTGGATCCTCAACACGTAAATAGAAAGCAATTAAGCGTCTAAAGAGCACAGTGTATTTCACGACCGATGAATACGTGTACGATCTGAAGAATAATTCGAAATATTTATTGACGTCCTGTATAAGGAGGAAAACAGCCATGCTTTCTTTTCCCACTGGCCAGGGCCGTCTTCCATCTTTCTCCCCCCGACCTCTCTTAGAAGTAATCACAATATGTATGAGAGGCGAGAAGACAGAAATCCGTCGAGATGCGAGTGAACCTCACCTAGCAC